TGTCATTCGTATGGCCCAATGGAGGCCACGTCTTCGTGGCCACTTCCTAGTTGTAGGGGCAGGATTTGGCAACACTGAGGAAGTGCAGCAAACAGCAAGGTGATAGCAGGTGCCCTAATGTAGAAATCAGACTTTAGGGTTGCTACAAAAGGAATCTATTACTTTGCCCATCCCTGGCAATACCTGGGACTTTCAGTACGGTGAGCATATGACCTTCTCCCCTTGCCCCCAGGATGCAGTGCTTAGGCCGGAGTGGTCTATTGCCATGCCTGAACACTGTCAATACCTAAATAGGTCATCTTTAGAGTAGAGCGGGGAAAGTAAATACTAATGCTAATCTAATAATGCAGACCAGTGGTGCTTGGAAATGACAGCAATAGATGTTGCCGCGCAATGCCAACATGGAAAGACAAGAGGTCACCAGGACTCCTGCAACGGTCTTCACATTTATTGATAAAACATCACATTTGTCATAAAAGGCTGATGTTTCTGGGCCTAACAAGGTCCCTTCCTCAGGGTGACAGTGACAGACAAGTATTGCAAAGCACAGAAAGACCTCCACCGCACCTTTCACATCAAAGTTCCACTGCTTGCGTGCGTTGCATATGCCGGCCTGAGAGCCGTCCATTCTCTACATCAAATGCAACCAAGAAAAACAGCCGCACACTACCAATCCTGACCCCGCACTTCTTTATTTGTAAAATCCAGTCAGCTCCAAACCTATGATGCCTGCCTGCTGGTTGCTCACACTAACACGTTTTACCCAATCAAGCTTAGTCACAGAGGCTCTACAACTAAGCCTGGTTGGGTGAAATGCGTTAGACGTGAGCAACCAGCAGGCAGCCATCATAAGTTCGGAGCTGAGTGGATTTTACAAATAAAGAAGCGATGGGGGACTATTGACAGGGTGCTGTTTTTTTGGATTACATAGTGGCAATCAACATGCAGAGCGGACAGACATTTAAACCTAACAGTAACCCATAGAAACCAAGTGTTCCCCTCTCCAATGACATCACAATTCCACCAAAAACATAGAATACACTCTATGCTATGGGTTGCTATAGGTTACCATTTGGTTTAAATGTCTGTCCACCTTGCAAGTTGATCATCACTATGTCGCCTTTAAGAATGGACCCTGTGATGCCCTGGAATGTCGGCTTCATCTGACAAATGTGATGTTTTATTAAAGGAGAACTATGAGGTGAGTGCTTTTCACTCACCTCATAGTTCTAGCTGACCTGTGACAATGAGACTGTCACAGGTCGGCTCAGTAGATCGGGAGGTGAGCGAACACATACCGGGTTCGCTCACCTCTCGATCTTGTCACGACTCTCTGCCGTGACTGGGGAGGGGCTGGATTCCCCCCTCCCCGCCAGCGCTGACTGGCGGATCGGACGGGGGAGGGGGCGGGTACAGCTGGCTCTGCCTCTAGATAGGCAGAGCCAGCTGTCAGTCACGCAGCTGGGTGAATTCCGGCATAATTGTCGGGATCCGCTTCAGCTGCGGCGTCTCAGTATACCGCGAGCAATAGGCGCGTATTATGATCTGTATGAAGAGCGCTGCTGTGTGTTGTGTAGCGACAGCGTGGTGCATTGTTACAACGCATCCCAGTGTTTACTTTTCTAACTTTATTGCAATGTCACAAAATGACACTTCCTTCAACTCATGCAGGACAGAGCGTTGCATTGAGCTGCAGTACTTTGGCATGCTTCTTATTTTGTTCATTTTTTAGGTCCGCATGTGTGGTGTGACCAGGGCACGGAGAGAACAATTGTTTCCTATGTGTCCTTTCACATTGATCAATGCACTGGGTGTGAAGGAGCCCTAGCATTGCACAGCACGGCTTTTGTCACCCTCGCTTGTCTCCTGACTCCCTCCTCAGGAGTCTGTATGGGGGATACAGAAGCCCCGAGCTGCTCCCCCTCTAACTGACAACACAGCAGAGAGGACAGGACAGCCCCTGCCTTCGACCGAGGGGCGTGGTTTCCTAGCACAACTTTTTAGAAAGGGCGGGATTATATCAATCGCATGCCAGTTCGACCACGCCCCCACCCCTACAGTCAGAGAGAACGGGGAGGAGTGTGACCGTTGCTGTTTTCTTTTTTCACCACCCACAGCCAATGGCATACGTGTAGTGGGCGGTCCTTGTCCTGTGACGTTGTCAGAACACAGTAGCGGCGCAGTGCCCCGAAGAAAAACGCTGCTCGGGACGCGACGTCTGCAGCCATTCAGCCCTTTGCTCTGCGTCTGCTGTGTGCGCTGAGCGCCGTCTGCTGCGCCTCTCTAGCGCTGGCCCGCCACTACCTAAAGGACCTGCTGCTGTGGGTGGAGAGCCTGGACAGTGTGGTCGGGGTGCTGCTCTTCATCGTGGGCTTCATTCTGGTCTCCCTGCCTTGCGTGTGGGGCTACATCGTCCTGAACGTGGCTGCTGGCTACCTGTATGGCCTGGTGCTGGGCATCGGACTGGTCATCGTCGGGGTGCTCATCGGCACCTTCATCGCCCACCTGCTGTGCAAGAAGCTGCTCACCCACTGGGTCCTGGCCAAGATCGAGAGCAACCAGAGACTGGGAGCCGTTATCCGGGTGGTGGAGGGGGGCGGCGGACTCAAGGTGGTCGCTCTGGCCAGGCTGACCCCCATCCCGTTCGGGCTGCAGAACGCGGTCTTCTCGGTAAGACCATTGGGTATCCACGGGGGGGCTGTATGTGGGGTGACTCTTCTAGCCGTTTCGGCTTTCTTCCCTTATGATTGTGTGGACTTGGGCCAATTACCGCCCTCGTATATATTTAGATGGCAGGATGGCGATAACTCACCTTATTCTGTAAGTTAGAAAGGCTCATGATGGTTGTTACAGAACTTTGACCAACTTTGGATCGCAATCACGACCAAGAGGATCTAAGAGGCTGGTCACCATGACTGGCGGAGTTTACACTTGAAAGTTGGTTGAGATTGCAGGAAAATTGCTGTGTGTGTGGCTATTCTTAAGCTGGCCAAACAGCAATTTTCAGGTGATACCAACTGCTTCCAATCAACGTGTGATAGAATAATGAATCAAAAAATAATGTGGCATAGCTAGAATAGTAGACACCCAGAGGGATGACAATTGCGGTCCCTATCTTTGTTGGTCAGTTGAACAGTGTTTCCTGACATTGGCAGTTGATGTAGCAGTCTCCTACATTGTTAGCGGTCGTCGGGAGGGGGGGCCTCCTGATGTTAGCGGTCGTCGGGAGGGGGGGCCTCCTGATGTTAGCGGTCGCCGGGAGGGGGGCCTCCTGATGTTAGCGGGAGAAGGGCTAAAACATTCATGTTCGTGGTTACTGAGAGACGAAAGTGTTCAGTGCCGGAGGAACCCTAGAGTTCATCAGAACTCTGGTCAGGAAAATCTGTATTGGCCCATAGGACAATTGTGGCCGGGAGCTTGACTTGATCTGGTACAAGTCTGGTCTTTTTTTTGCAATTTAAAGCTGGTTGAAGTTTTCTTACAAATTCCTGTGTGGATGGTCAGTGTTTTGGGTTAATGATGGAACAAATAGACCTCAAAAGGCTCTTATTAATGCAAAATGTTGAATCCTAGCTTCACTCAGAAACATTAGGATTTAACAAATCCACCAACTTGGGTATGAAGTACAGCAGTGCGAGTGCTGAAACCAGAGAAGTGTTCCTCTATTGCAGGTGCATCTGGAAGAAATGTTTTCTGTTTATTGATTTCCCCCCAACATATGGAATCTGTAGGAGACATTTCATGTAGCCCACAACATCCAGTCAGCGTTCTTCGTTTACTGACCTGACAGTGTGACGATGATGATTTAGTCAACAAGCAATGTTTACCTTTAGCAGGCTTTTCATACATCCAACCCATATGGTGGCCATACCTGTAAACAGCTGATCTGTAAAGGATTTGTTTGTTGATCATTGAGGACAAGAAAGAAAAAGGTCAATTTGGCCTAATTCTATTGGATTTCTTCTACAGTTTTGATACATGTTTGATTGAATTGCTCTTTGACTGCAATACATTGTTATTAAATCAATTTGTATTGAATGATCCTAGTGTGACCTGCGGGGCCAGCATTGGAGAATATGCTGTGTCTGCAAAGCAGGAGAACTCCAGGATAGAGGATCTCTAGAAGGAGATGATGTGGCTCAGCCTGATCTCCATGCTCCTGATCTAGGGATCTTCAGCTGCAGAATGTGGGTCCTGGCATGCTGCCATAGTGTGCACGCTGAGCTGCTGCTGTCTGAATGTTAGGGAATCCCCACAGACGCCAAATTACTCATTATGACCGGCAGAGATTGGGGTACAGCCAGAGGAAGTATGTTGTGACACCTGAGGCTGAAGGTTTATCTGTTTATCTTTCCTCACCCCAGTCCAGAAAGTTTATAATTCTGGGGTACTATAAAAATAAACCTGTGCTTGGAGGAATATACAGGCTGCTATTGCTGGCCTCTTTCTGCAAATAGTGGTCACACCGGTTCTCTGATTTGACTACTTTCAAGTCTACTACTATTGTTTATAGCCATGTTGCTGTGTTTGCAGAGAGTACTAAAATTGGGAGGCTAATAGACATGGGATTAGACATTGTAACATTACAGGAGGACCTGGATAAAATTAGGGGAGGGGGCAACTATGTAGGCAGATGAGGTTTAATGTTGGAAAATGTAAAGTAATGCATATTGGGTTAAAGACAGCCAAGCAGAATACACATTAATGGGAACTCCACTAGGGGAGTCAGAAATGGAAAAAGATTTGGGGATCATAGTTGATCACACATTGATTATCAGCATGCAATGTGCAGGCCGCAGCTAACAAAGCGAGCAGAGTGCAGCCTTGTATTAAAAAGGGAATGTACTCTAGAGACAAAGCAATCATTTTGCCACTTTATAGATCACTGGTTCGGCCTCATCTGGAGTATGTGGTCCAGTTTTGGTCACCAATCCACAGAAAGGATGTCCTGGAGCTGGATAGAGTCCAGAGAAGAGCAACTAAGCTAATTAAGGGGCAGGAGGATCAGAGCCATGAGACAAAGTTGCAAAATGTAAACTTGTTCACACTGGAAGTGAGGGGATATGATTCTGATGTACAAAATGTTTAGTGGTGATGGTAACATCTGCAATAAACTTTTTTTCTGTAAACTCCCTAACAAGGACTAGAGGCCACCAACTAAAACTGGTGGACAAAAGATTTAACCACAAAGGGCGTAGGGGCTTCTTCTCAGTCAGAGTGGTTACATTTCAGAACTCTCCGCTACAAGCAGTGGTATCAGAAGAGAACATTGAATCATTCAAAATTCAATTAGATACCATCCTGAAGGACCGTAATACACAGGGGTACAGGTACTCTTAACTACTAGCTCACACAGGGACTAATTTACATACGCATGCACAACTCGCAGAGGTTGAACTTGATGGACCTGTGTCTTTTTTTCAACCTCCCATACTATGTAAATCAACATGCTGCAAAAGGTGTTCATCACACTTTTAGAGGATTGGCATGACAGCCCTTTTTGTTTTTTAAAGGAGATTATTGCAATGGCTGCCTTCACTTTTCTCTCAGCTTGTAATATGGCAGTGGTAGGTCTCACTATAGTAGGGGTAGGCAACCTTGGCCCTCCGGCTGTTGTGGAACTACAGGTCCCGTGGGGCATTGCTAGACTGACAACCACAGGTGTGACTCGCAGAGGCATTATGGGATTTGTAGTTTGGTCACACCTGAAGTGCCGAGGTAGCCTACCCTTACACTATTGCATCATTTGGATTGCCTAGCTGTGTTCAGTGTATAGGTTGAGGAAGCAAAGTCTTGTTGCTCTTAACACTTTGTAGTGTGGTACTGAAAAGCACGTTGGTGTATTTCACCAAGTCTCATTGTCGAATTAGTCTGTTAATTATGATCCACTTAGTATCCCATGTGTTTTAGATCTTCACTAATGGAGTGTAAGCCAAGTGACTTCAGTATATTCAGTAATTATTAACACAGGCTTATATAATGTTGGGGGGTTTTATGTCATTTTCAGGCCTAAAATGTGGAATATAACATGGGTGCAAAAATTGAAAAAAGGGCCTCAGTCATGAAGGGGTTAAGGATGCTTTGTAGTTTCTGCTATTGTGACTCCACATACATGGAATCTAGGGTAACATGCTTCGCTAGAAACATTACTTGAGGATAGAGGTATGTGCTAATTACACACATGCTAATTGCCTGTTATGTCCCTCTCACTAGTTGTAGGAGTACCGAACCCTGGATGGAGCAGAAGATGCTGGTCCTGTGTACGTAGTACAATATTAATCTGCACATACAATGCACAAACCTCTTCTGTTGTCACACAAATTGCTTGTAATGATCACTTTTCCCTTCTACCGGTGTGTCAAGTTGCATTAAAGTGACACTAAACTCAGGAGTAAAACCTTAAAAATGCATTCATGTACCTTTTAAAAAGGAACTATGGGGTAACCTTTTTATCTCATAGTTCTTTTTAGGGTCACAGGGGGACATACACTAAAGTAATCCCGTGACCCAAAACTCAGTATATAGCGAGTTATTACATGCCATATACTGAGAGCGCCGCAGCTGGGACGGATCCTGACAATGCTGTCGAGATCCACCCAGCTGATTGATTGACAGCTGGCTATGCTGATCTAGTGGCAGAGCAAGCTGTGCCCGCCCCCTCCCCCGTCCGTTCCACCAGTCAGCGATAGAGGAGAGGGGGGAATCCCTGCGGGGGCCGACGGTCACTGCTCTCTGCAGGCAGATGATCAGAAAGTGAGTGAGCGACGGTATGCGTTTGCTCACTTCTCGATCTATAGAGCTGATGTGTGACGGCTGGAACTATGAGGATGAGTGGAAATCACTCGCCTCATAGTTCTCCATTACCAAAAATGTATCTTAATTGTGTATCACTCGGCTGTAGGTCCTCAAATCATCTCTGAATTGGTACTGACACTGTCCTTCCTTCTGGAGGGTGGCTACTTTTGTTCCCCATGGTCCCTGTGTGTGTTGTGGCGTAGCCACCACTTGTCATTAGTAAACATTTCTAAAGGTGTGTTTGTTTTAAAGATATGGGTAATGTTCCTCTTTAAGTAATGCACATTACCTCGTGGCATGATGGGTGTGCGTCAATGCACCACAGTGGGGTGAATGAGCCCTAATTGATAAACCTGAGCTGGGTGTTTATGAAACAGTGTAGCAAATAAGTCTTATGACCTTAGAAATAGCAATGTAAACATGAATTAGCTGTTCTCATTTGTCATAAAGTAGTTAACTGACCGATATGGGTGCTGCTAAATTGTGGGCATCAGGACTTTTATGGAGGGGATCAATCCCAATGGTTGCATTTTTTCCATACATGTCTTTCTTTAGAGAAACATGGAGTCTGCATTGTCTGACTACATCTTCCAGATGCTACGTACTCATCTGTGTGCTGATCCTCATGCTGCAGGCCTTGGATTTACTGACCCAGAACAAGTATGTAGATGAGGACTGTTTTGGGTTTCAGATTTTGCGTACCGTATATACTCGAGTATAAGCCGTCCCGAATATAAGCCGAGGTACCTAATTTTACCACAAAAAACTGGGAAAAAATATTGACTCGAGTATAAGCCGAGGGTGGGAAATGAGGCAGCTACTGGTAAATGTACAAAATGAAGATAGATACCAATAAAATTGCATGAATATTTATT